TAACATACTAAAAGATGGGAGTTTTTTTGTATGCGGTTTGTCCGCAGAAAATTTAAGACCGAACCATGTTCGGAAGGGTAGAAAACGTAAAAGTAAGATTTATGCTAAGTGGGTTTATGGGAACCCCTTAGTGACTTGAGGGAAGTAAAATATGTTATAAAATTAGTTTAAATAATTATTCCGCAAGGAGTTTACAGTTACGGTCACTGCTTTTATTATTACGCTTTTTATTGTTTTAAATACTCGCGTAATAAACGAAAAAAGTTTACTCGCATTTTTATAAATGAATTGCTGCGATTGTAACTGCGCTTAATATCATAATTAATGTTAACAATACAGGTGTACAACAGGATGTTACACATTGTATGAGCTCAATATTGTATAATCTCTCAAAATTACGTGACTCTTATACAAATCATCTTGACATGCTTTTCTAACAAAGAAAAATAAGCTAAATATGCTAATTGTTATAGTCCTTTTTATAAGAGCCAAGAATGTGCATGAAGCAATTTTTTGAATCAAATTGGTTTTTATTTATGAAATTCATGCATAATAGTCAATAGGGTTTGGAAAATGATTTAAACATGCTTATTCCATGTTTTGAACATGTTTTAGCCTTATAAATATCTTTCTAAGAGTCAATTATTGTTCCTATAATGTTAAGAACCATTTGAAAGTGAAACAAAGAGTAAACAAAATGTATTTTTTATAATTTTCTACCTGTTGTCGAGGGAGGATTCAAATCCCTCTTGAAAGGAATTAAATTCCTTGTTCCCAGAAGCAAGGATTCAAATCCCTTACAAAAATGATTCGAATTCTACTAGCCAGTAAGCCTACAATGGCTATAAACGGTCATAAACAACTAGTTTTGGAAAAAAATCACTATAAACACATTCCTTATGTCTCCAAATAAGTTTGATCATCATTGTTATTTGTTACACATCTTAAGGATAATTTGTGAGCTTTTACACTATCATTTGCATATTCTTTTATATCTTTCAAAGATTAAGCATATTTGAGCTTATGTTTTGAAAATTCATACACTCATAGTGCTTCAACTTGTATTATCCACACCTTGAGAGTGTAAATCCTTATTCAAATCATTCTTGATTGTATTCTTAAGTTAAAGGGTAGTGAGATCCTAAGACATTGAGAAGTAGCCCATTGCCTAGGAAAATTTAGGGAACGGTAGTAAGGTATCCAAGCACTCGAAAAATTGGAGATTGTTGTAAAGTCACCAAGGACCCATAAAGCTTGGAGATTGTAGTGGTTTGTCAAGTATCAGTAAAGCTTGATTGATAGTAAAAGAATTGATTGTTCGACTTCAGTCTAAACGTACATGTGGTGGTGACTGAACTAGGATATATTGTGTTTGCAATTCTCTAAATTCTAAACTCTTAATTTCTAACACTTTAATGTTTCTTCTATATCTTGTATCTGCTAATATAGGTTCTATGATTACGATACATTATAAGTTATGGATTGTATTAATGTATTGATTAGCTTTTCGTATTTCAAAGTTTGCTTGAAATGATAATTTAGAAACAAGAATGAGGCTTTTAAAATTTTTTGTAATACACAATTCACCTCCCTCTTGAGTATGGAAGCCACATTCCTAACAATTTGTATTTTGTAAGGGTTAGTTAATACCGTATGTTTATTTAATTGTTTGTATTTGGATATTCTATAATAAAGTTAATTTTAGTAAGACTTACATTCCAACTCTTCTATATAGTATACATATATGACAAGAGTTCAAAATATGTAGGTAATGTTCCTTGGTTAATAACATTATGCCTACCTATCGATGGAGCATGGCAGTGATAACTACCTTGGTAAGGCGTTGGCAAGAATTCCTAGAGGACCTACATCTTCCACTCATTTTTTTAACAACAATTAAGTAGACAAAACAATAAACCCAGAAAGGGAAGACCTTTCAGGACAATCAATTCAAAATACGAAGGTAGAGGAAGAAGAGAAGAATCTAAGGATAGACAAACAGAAAATAAGGTAAGGAATAATACCTTAGTAAGAAAGCAAGGAGCTTGGAGAAAAGTTTTCATAGTCACCAATTGAGACGCTTAAAGAAGTGCACAGAGGACAAGCGTAAAGTGGCCCTTACTATAGAAGAAAAATGCTGCAACAAGAAGGTCAATGGGGGAAATTAAAGCAAAAGAGGATAAGAACTCAAAAGCATCAAGAAAAAAGGGTAAAAGGAAAGGTTGAAACTTTGAAACTCTAAAGAATGGAAGAAGTTTAAACACTAGAAGATGAGAGGGTGCACAAAAGAGAGGACCAAAAAACCAAGGGAGAACGTGGAAAAGTTGAACAAAGCTAAGGGGCAAATTAGTAAAATAAGGCAAGGGCAAGGAAGTCCTTTCTAACATTCCTAAAAGTTGTTGTAACTGTCATGTAGCAACATCATTACAGACACATCCTTTCGGTGCGCACGAACCACTCACTAAGCACCACATGGCCACATCTTAGAGAAAAAGTCATTTTTGCCTCAATTGAAAAGATACGGTAGAAAAGCATAGAATGGAAAGTACACACTAGGCTTGGCTTCCTGGATAACCAATCTGAGCATACATTTAACTATAGTTCGGTGGACGCGCATCCAAATTCAGAAAGTGATAAGAATAATATCCTCCCAACACAAGCATAACATCCCCAGGCCGGAACACTCTTTAGACACCTTAGCATTCTGGCTTCGCAGACTAACAAGCTAAGGGCTTCTATTTTGGATTGGTCATATGACCTTGCCTAGCAACCCCAAAAAGCAACCCAACAAGGCCCCAATCACTTAGCACATGGAGTATATGACTCCCCAATACATTTGCCCTCTCACACTTTCCACGCACACATGATCTTTACATGTTAGTGCGACCTCTAAGGATGAAACAATTATGGCAACACCCTTCCCTTGCTAAGAATGAATCTTTCTTATCCTACAAATAGAGGAATCATCCTCAGCAAATAGATCATCTTCTCCATTATATAAGCTTGTTGTTATTCTGCCAAATTCCTACCATTAGAGGTGGCAAAGCGGGCCCCAGCCCGCCATCAGCCTCCCTTGCCCCGCCTTTGAAGGTGGGCTAGATATCTCAGCCCGCCAAGCCCATGATATTTTACACTAGAATTTAAAAAAAAAAAAATCAGCCCGGGTGGGCTGGCGGGCAGCGGGTTTGAAAAACTCAGCCTGCCCCGCCCCGTTTGGTGGGCGGGGCGGGCCGGCCCGGCGAGTTGGGCCCATTTTGCCAGCTCTACCTACCATTGTCATAACCAAACCTAAAACACCTCACCCATTCAATCTCAGCTAAAACAATGACTCTCAAGAATTTTGGCCCATACCACTGTCTCCTTTATCATCGTCAGATCAATATAGTTCACTTACTCAAGAAACAAATTTCCTTTTCTACTTTTTGACTAGCAAATGCCCCTAATTAGATTTCGAAAAAATAACCTTACAAATGGTTGGCTCGAACTTTAAGCTATGGAAAAATTGGAAATAAATTCAAAATCAAATTACATTCTAAAAGTGTAACAACGAGCAGTAAGAAAACTAAATTATGAAATATAGGTGGGTAGAACGAACTTGGCTTGATTGAAAAGATAAAGAAATGTGTAGGTTCTAGAGGTGGTAAAAGGTGTCATGATCCACAGGTTGACTTGTAATATGACATGTCAAAATGTGAGTCATGTCAACCCGTGGGATAAAATAGGTCATGTACGAATTTAGGTAAATGATATAAATTATTATCACGTCGTGTTATGGATTGACCCACGTGTTAACCCATAATTTTTATTTTGTCAAAAAAATAAAAAAGATAAATTTTTTGATGATTTTGACATATGCTGTTACGGGTCACGGGTCAACCTGCATGTTTTATTCAAGTTTTTTTTTTTGAAAATATCAAAATTTTCAATTTTTATGAGTCAAATCATATGACTTGCGGCTTGTGGCTTGTCGAGTCTGGGTTTTAATTTTTAAACTATTATTAAAAACATGTCATGATTGGACAATTAGAAACACAAATCCGACCGACATATTTTGCAACCCCTAAATTAGGCCTTTTGACCCTAGTACAATGTTTATTAAAATGAATTACCGGAATAATTTCACGGTGGAATGACATACCAAAATAATGCATGACGACGCGACAGGTGTGTGAACGTTTTTAGACGCGGCTTCTTTGCAAACGCTTTTCCTGCAACCCGTGTAGATGGAACGTGATAGAAGGACAACCGCGTCTCAGTGTGTCTGCTGCAGCTCTGACGCGGTCCTGGCCCAGCCACGTCCCAGTGTGTCAGCCACCAAAAAATCCAATTGAAAATGAACTCCCTATTTGGCTTTGGCTTTTCCTACTAATTAAGAAACCCAACTGAAACCAACACTTATGCTTTCTAGCAACAACAACAACAACAACCACACCACTTGTCAGGAAGTAGTCTTCCATATATAAACAAAATTTTGAAACCTGGCAAGCATGCAAGCGATGGCTGAGACAGGTTTTATAACACCTCACATTTCTAAGTCTAAATATTAAAATATTAAATGAGAATTAAAGAGAAGGATTAGTGAAAATCCTGAGTATAAGGCCAAAATACAAAGAAAGGGCAAAACAGTAATTAGCCATGCACACAACCCTAGGAAGATAAAATTGAGTAGAAGGTCTCAGATGATAAAAAGAACCCTGGAAATGGATTCAGAACGAAAAATCGAGTGGATAGGCAAATTTGGGAAAAATCGATGAATAGTGATTTTTCCAGTGTAAAAATGCTGCGGTATAATTGTACCGATAAGCGTGAAATTTTTATCAGTATTTTTAGGAAACAAAAATATGACATGAACGAGAAAAATACATAGGTAAGGAATTTGTGGTTGAAATTAGTGATTGATTAAAGTTAAATCGCGTGTAGGACCCACCTATGGCTTAAGTGACTTAAAAGTCACATTTACATGACATATTCTCTCTCCTCTTCTCCTTTCTTCCCCGTGGATCAGCCTCCCCCTTCCATTTTCGTTTTTTTTATTTGTTTTGTTTGATTTCTTCATAACTTCATCAATTCTTAACCGAATCGGACGATTCTTGTCTTGAAATTCGATGGAAATCACCATCCGAACCCGTTCCACCGATTAGTTTCCCTTGAAACCCTCTCTATGGTGAGAAAAGAGCCATATACAGCCACAAAATTCTTAGGATTTTTGTGATTTTGGAGTTGATTTCTTGAGCCATTGCTTGTGGAGTTCTAGGAGGAGTCTTGTGACGTAATTGTGGGTAAGTTTCAACACCCCTCATGGATTGATTTGAAGATTTATTTTCGAATTTGTTTATGAACCCTAAAGAGGGCTTGTTTGATTTGTGATGTTAGAGAGCTCAAATAAAAAATGTGTATTAGATGATAATGTCTTAGAATGATGTGTTAGAGCTAGAAATGCCATGAAAAATTATTGGTGAAAAATATGGTTTTGTAACTTAGAAAATTTTGAGGATGTCATGACTTTGAATTTTGAAAATGTGTTAGGATTGTATTGGTGAGTTGTTGTATGATTATATGTTGATATAATGGGATTGTATGAGGTGTGGAATGGTTAAAATTGGGTGAAAATTCCTTGGAACGGATTAGGTGCAATTCGGCCTTTAAAGGGAAATTAAGGAATGGATGTTGTTGGAAATTATTTGAGTGATGTATGATGTGCTAAATGGTACTTAGATGTTGTGTGGTGGTTTAAAGGTTGTAGAATCAATGAAAAATGATTGAAGATGTTAATTGCCATAAAGGATCCTAGAGTAAAATATTAGGCAAAACATTGTTTAAAAGACGTAAAGTGAAAAATGGCACTTGGTATGGCCTTTTGGCAACCTGTGGAAGTATAATAAAATGAGAAAGAAAATTTAGAAAAATAATTTGTGAAATAAGCGTTAAGAGGCCGAACCTACAAGGTGTAGGAGTGAAATTTGACGTTTTTCGTATTTTGATGGAATTGCCGTGTGCTGACTATTCGTACATGGTTACTGTAGGTTGTCGTACGTCAATTTGAACACCGAACCGTGAGTCGGTGGATTGCCCTTGGTCCTGGACCAAGTGGGATTGAGGTAAGTGGTTGAATCATGCTTGTATTGTTGTAAATTGCATGCATTCGTATGAGTTTTGAGTAATTGGGAACGTCCTATGTGTAGGCGTTCTGTTGAGTAACAAACTTGGAACTTAAGCTGCTGTGGAGCTAAGTGGAGTAACATATTGAGGTAACCTCTTGGTACTGGGGCTTGTTCCCCTTTTCTGTTCCACCTTGCCAGTTGATGGCAACGGTAGGAAGTGTGTATGAATAGTATAGAACACATGAGCATGCATGCATTATTGCTATGGGTACTTATGTATCGAGTCTCTGGCCAGTAGACAGTTTTATTAGCCTTCGGGCAGTTTCGGACTTCCGCTGGATAGGTCTCCAGGAGGGAGTTCCAGTTGACTGCGTGTCATGGTGTGTGATCCGGGTAGGAGCACACTAGGAATGTCTTTGGCATTTTGGATGGTTTGGGCATCATGGTTGTGGTTTCTGTGAACACACCTTGGATGATACCCATAGGCTTATATATGCCCAGGGCGTACGTGGAATTGGGGTTACCATCCCGTATCGTCGTAGTTTGTATCTTTATATTCCTCATTTCTCTAAATCCCTTGTTTTATCCTGTTTTCAAAGTTGTTGTTTTATTCTATTGATATGCATCGAAGTGAACCATTGGGTGGAGTTTTCTCCAGAACCTCTTGGTTACTGAGATATATTCGTATATCTCACCCCGTCTCGGGGCATTTATTTCAGGAGGTAGCAGTGGAGCCGGAGCAGCGGGCAAGAGGCCCGCAGAGTGAGCAGTGGAGTGCTTCATAATTTGCATTTTGTTGGCCGTGTGGCCTAGGCTAGACTTAGGGCATGAACATCTCATATGTATGTGGGATGAGCTTCATTAGCATATTTGTTCATGTCATTTTGCCTAAGTCTAGTAGTTATGTATTTGGTTATGTTGTCATTTGAATTTAAGTTGTAATATTGGAAGAATGTAAGTTTAAGTTTAAGTTTCAAGTTGTAAGATGTAAAGCAATATTGTAATCGTATTGATGCATGACTATTTATGATGGAAGGGCCTTAGGCCTATTTTAGGGTATGATTACATGTATGATGAAAATATGCATGAAAAAGGTATTAGTGATTGCAACTACTTAATGATGATTAATATGAACTATATGCCTAATAACTATAAACTGGATTGGGTTGTAAGTGCCTCAAGGCGTTGTTGGTCCTTGTGTGTGCCACCCATTGGATTATTACTGTATTATCATGTGATTATTAGGTACATTTGAGGTTTAAATGATTTTTACAAATTTGGGATTATTGGAAAAACAAAGGAAACTCTGGCGAATTTTCTGTAGAATTGGCAGATTTTAGGCGAACTTCGAGAGAGCATATCTCCCTCCATAGAGGTCCAATAGGGACGTTCCATACGTCATTTTGAAGGTTGAGATGTCCTCTACCTTGTGTCAAAATTTGAGGAAAATCTGGGTTGATCTTCGGCCTGAAAAAAATGGAGAAACACGGACTGCTCATGTGCCACTGCACCTGAGGCAGATTCTGGACCGGATTTGGGAAATTAATTCCCGCTTCGTTTCTCAGTCAAATTAAGCGTGTGATATATAAAAATGAAGTTTGAGATGTCTAGTTTGTAGGATAAAAATGTGAGAGCAAATGGATGAGTGGATTGAGTGCAGTAATTCGAGTAATGTGTGTGGTTTGGGGCTGTTTTTGGGGTTGTTTGGCTATTTGCTTATCCAACTTCTAACGACGATAATCGGAGCAAATGAGCTCCGAATTGAGCGTATGATAGCTTGTTGAAAAGGGAATTAAGTAAGACAAAGATATAATCTGATAAGAGAGTTTGGTTGCGAACGGTGTGGTCGCAGAAAAATTAAGGGTGAAACATGTCCGAATTGGTAAAAACGTAAAGATTGGAAATTGGCTAAGTAGGTTTATGGGAACCCCTTAGTAACTTATGATAAGTAATGTAAGTTATAAAAAATATTTTAAATAAGTCTTCCGCAAGAGTTTACGGTTACGGTCACAGCTTTTAATTATTACGCTTTTTATGTGTTAAATGCTCGCGTAATAATCAGAAAAAGTTTATTCGCATTTTTATAAATAAATTGCTGTGATTGTAACTGCGCTTAATATCATAATTAATGTTAACAATACCGGTGTACAACGGGCTGTTACAGGTTTCAAAATTTTATATCCGTAGTAGAAGCAACATGAGTTTGTGACCAATTTGTTGCTTTCTGGTTCTGTCTAATGCCTCTGTTGTATTCTAGTTTTGAGTGCAGTAGATTATTAATTATTATCCGCAGATCTAAATATAATGGTTTCATTCTAGTTTCTCTCTCATTTTATTTTCTCTCACTGAACTTCATGAGAATTTAACGCTGACAGCAATGAAACTCCCCCCCCCCCCATTTTAAGAGAGAACTATTAAGAGAAACCATGTTTGATTGATCTCTCCATACATATACAAATTGCACAATAGTCTGGCTGCATGCCAGTGATATTTGGTTTCCTATTTTCTTATCTGATCTTCATCTTTGAGTTCGATTGAATATAATTCGATTGAATATAATTCGATTGAATGACAAACTCAGTTAAGTTGTTTTGGCTATTGAGAGAAAGTGTGGTGTGGGTGTTGTTGTTGTTGTTGCTAGAAAGCATAAGTGTTGGTTTCAGTTGGGTTTCTTAATTAGTAGGAAAAACCAAAGCCAAATAGGGAGTTCATTTTTCAGTTGGATTTTTTGGTTGGCTGACACACTGGGACGCGGCTGGGCCAGGACTACGTCAGAGCTGCAGCTGACACACTGGGACGCGATTGTCCTTCTATCACATTCCATCTACACGGGTTGCAGGAAAAGCGTTTGTAGAGAAGCCACGTTTGAAAACGTTCACACATCTGCCGCGTTGTCATGCATTATTCTGATATATTATTTCACCGTGAAATTATTCCGGTCATTCATTTTAATAAACGTTCTACTAGGGTCAAAAGAAAAGGCCCCTAAATTACATTCGTAAGAAACAAGATAACAAAAATATTATAATGTACTCGCTTCCACTTTCCTAGTGCTAATCAAATTGGAGTGCAACTTGCATCATATGCGAAACCAAAAGAAGGGAACTTTTATCCAATCATATTCACCCGTGGCAGAAACTATATCCCGCGCCTGATTCTTGCAAGAAATAATCCTCCAAAAAACTTAATCCCTTGAATAAATGCTTGTAAATAATTTTAATTTATCAACTTTAAGAAGTATTAATACTTTAAATTAACTGTTGTATCACTGTCTGATACGTATCGTGTTAGATATTTTTAAGATAAATTTGAATGCAACAAGCTTACACTTTTAAATTACTTTTTAAAATTTAATATGATACAAATGATGTATCACAATCCTTAGCTAAACAATAGTATTTTACTCTATTTATAATAATTAATGTTGACTTATTAAAGATAATTAAGTTTGTTAGAGTTTATAATTTGTATTTTTATGTCAACATTATAATAATTTCATATATAATATCTTGTATTAATTTCCTCTTTCTTTTGTAGTTGTAGTAAAAAAAGTAAATTTGGTTGCATCTAAAAAAATACTAAAAATGAGGCAATGCCTTCCTCTTGTACCAAAAAAAAAAAAAAACACAGAAAAAAGCTAGTTCTCCCTCATTTGCCATGCTTTTAGAAAAGTGCCAAATTGTACTTTTAGTTTTCTTTCTTCTTTTATTTTTCACAAAAAGAAAGAAAGTAAGGAATTTATTCAACTTTTCAGTGCATGTTTCTTGAGAGATAAGACCAAGGGTAATTGAATTAATTCATGATTACTATTATACTATGTCCTATGAGAAATGTCAATTGTTCCATGTTCATACAGAATGAATCAATCAAGAAAAAGTAGAGAAAAAAAGAAAAAGGTATGAATATGAAAGAGATATGAGATGTACCTAGAAGAAAAGAGGGTACGCAAACAGCATCAGGGTCCACCAACTTGTGGACAATTTATAACCCGTACATTATGCATGCTCCTTTTTCAACTATTGTATTATATTGACCACTCTATGACCGTCCGATAGTAACGCTCAGGACCATCCAACTGTCATTATTGGCCCATATGACTCAGATATTAATTTATTTATTTTTTAACTTAATCAATGTCCTTTCCAAATCCCCAAAAAGCGGCGAAATCATCTAATTTAAATATAAATTTGAAATTTCATTATTTGTTCTATTAATTTTTAAAGGACCACCCATAACGGCTTGTCTCTAGGCTTCAGCTAACGGCTCATTCTTCATTCCAAACTCAATACCGGGTTTTCTTTATTAATTTTTTTTTTCAGTTTTCTCAAAATATCCTTAAGCCAATATTCGAAAATTAATATTTTTGAGGTATTGAGATTATTGAAATAAATTTTACCTTTATCAATAAAGTCTTTTTTATACACATGGATAGATATCGAATTTCTGTCAGCATACTTAAAAGACCCAATTATTTATTAACTGTGCTAAACTTTAATGTGTAATGTTAAAATTTTAAGAGAGAAGCACAGTTACCATAGCATAATAAAATATAAAAAATATATATACTATTGTTTTTTAATTAGGAAGCACAATTTTCTTTCTTTCTTTATTTTAATACTATTGTATTTTTTAAAAAAAAATCGGCTATCACTTATCATCTAGGATTAATAAAAAAAACTCTTAGCTGGTCATTGACTAGAATCATTCAATGTAATTATTTCTTAAATTCAATAAATCAACTTCAACTTTTATAATTTGACTCGTATAGTAGAAATAAATGCACACATGATGTTAACGTTTATATGAGCTAAGTATAAAAACAAATAAAAAAATAAATGTTTAAATCCACATATTTGATAATATTTATTATATATATAAATATATAAGGTCAGATCATTTTACACCAGTGTAAGTTACACTCTCAATCTTGACCATTGATCTCACTTATATCTAAGGGCTTTAATTTTTTAGTAATGTGAGCCATTGGATACAAGTGAATCAATGCTCAAGATTGAGTGTAAGACTTCTAACTCTTACACCGGTGTAAGAATATTTGCCCCATATATATATAAGGAGGAGTTATATTGACAAAAAAATTTTCTAACAAACTTACAAACAACACTAAGTCCGACCAGTCATACTTCAATCAAGAGTGTATGACTAGTCAGATTTAGTGTAATTGGTAAGAAAAAAGTTTGTTAATATAACCTTCTATATATATATATATATATATATATAAGGGTAAAGGATTTTTCCAATCAATGGAGATAAGTTATCTCTAGTGAGTCTAAAACGACGTCGTTTTGAGGCGGAAATCAAAGTATTTTTGTAAGTATAATATATTGCATGGTTGTTTTAGTCTTTATCACTATAATTTTTTAATCTTATAACCCAAAACGACGTCGTTTTGAGCTCACTAGAGATAATTTTATCTCCAGTGACGGGAGAAATACTTTTCCCTATATATAGCTCACTGGAGAAATATTTTTTCCTATATATAAGGAAAATTATTTCTCCAGTGACCGGAGATAAAGTTATTTCCAGTGAGCTCAAAACTACGTCGTTTTGGGTATAAGATTAAAAAATGATAAAGACTAAAACAACCCTGCAATATATTATAATTACAAAAATACCTTGATTTTCGTTCCAAAACGACGTCGTTTTGGACTCACTGGAGATAACTTATCTCCATTGACTGGAGAAATCCTTTACCCTATATATATATATATATATATATATATATATATATAGAGAGAGAGAGAGAGAGAGAAGGGTAGGATTCTTTGATATCATTGTCAAGTTTGAAATTTGACACTTCATCTGATAACTGTTAGATCAAAAAAGATCAACAACTCTGATTTGTAAGTATG